GAGTGATGGTCAATTTGCATACTGGTTGTGACTAATTAGCATACCAGGACGAATTAGCATATCCCTCTCTTATTATTGTGTTGGAGTGATGGTCAATTTGCATACTGGTTCTGACTAATGAGCATATCTGGCCATTACTAATTAGCATATCTGGGCTAATTAGCATATCCTTCTCTTATTATATAGGATTGTATAGATTCAAATTATAAAATAAATGTAAAGTATTATAAAATACATGTAAGGTATAAAAAAATGACAAACATGTCTAATTTTAGAACAAGCACATTCCTACTGTTTTGAAGTTCCCAGTGTGGCAGCTGTTTGTTCCCCCATCTTGCTCCTTTCCTCCTTCCAAGTAACCATTCCTGGAGTTTGTGCTCATCGCTCCCTTGCTTTTCTTATGGTTTTACACTTATTTATATGCCTGAAGATATGATAATGTTGTATGTATTCTTCAATAGCTCATTTTTCTTTACATTTTGTTTCTAAGTTCTTCCTTGTTGTGTGTAACTGAAAGTCACCCTTTTTCACTGCTGTATGGTATTCCACTATGGAGCCATACCATGATTTGTCTAGTGCTGTTGGAATTAGGCAACCAATTGCATGACAGACCTGGTGCTAAGGCTGGATTCCCAATGTATTACAAGGGGAGGTGAGAGGTACCAATCAACCCTATTCCTATGTACTATACTATTTCTACATATTAATGTAATGTGGACAAATCAATAACATTATAGAGATAGTAAGGATTTAAAAATAGCATGCCAGTTCTTAAATATAAACATGTAAATATATTAAATACTAATAATTAGTAATACTTCCAGGCACTTTTCATAGTTTCCTCAGCATCTATTTCAAAGATGGCTGGCTTTATCACTTTAAAAAAAATTAGAATTGAGATTTTGTGAAATTCCATTTAATTCTTGATCAATGCTTGGTAGATGCTTACTTTCAACATATCTTAAATACTAAGTAAATATTAAATTTCTCACATGAGCCAGTTAAGAAACATGCTCATGAAACACAATGAAAGTGGAAACTAAGGAAGAATTAATGGAGCATGGTTTATGAAAGATTAGTATTTTGTAATTCTGCACATAACACAATCTTCCTTTCCCGGGGTAAAAGGCCCCTGTATTTATTCCTAACTCCCCTCAACAATGAATGTTTCTAGAAACAATAATACAAGCTCTCTTGCAAACTCAACAGCTACTTGATAATCACATGCTTCTTCCTTTTTCCTTTCAAAACAATTTTTTTTTTTTACCATTCCAGAAATACACTGTGACTGAATGTAAGAAGCAGATGACAGCAATGGGTTATATGGGTCTCTCTCTTCTAAATTCCAACACCTGGGAACTGGTTAAGATTGATTAAAAAAATGAAGCCATGTAAGAGTTGATAAGTAAGCTTTTTAAGTTTTCTTAGTTCTTTCCCCCTCCTTGACATCCATGTTTCCCTTAGTGTAGCATAAATATGGTTTATGAAAATGTGTGACTTCTAGTGTGAGGTGCTGCATAAAACATGAAAAATTAATGTGGAGGCAAAACTATTTGAGGGAAAAAATACGAGCCCTTAGCTGACAGCTATGCCCTTCCTAGGCTGTCCCTGACCACCTGGCGAAAGCTCAGAAGAGGACATAATCCATAGACATGGACTGCAGATTACTGTGACAAATAAGTCGTGACAAACATAATTCAGTTCAGAAAGCAATGATCTTTCTCCCTGGAATTATTTTAGAAATAAATAATTCACATTGATAAGTTTCTGAATTCTCTAATGATGAAAAATTAATACCGTCCTGTAAAAGGGTGATGGTTGCACATTTACTTCTGATAAGATAATGGACATCCCATAAAATCTAAACCACTGGCCACTCTGCTTTCTCGGGGGTCACTTAGTATAATTCAGCCTAAAAACCAATCCCTGAGGCTTTTCCTGTTATATAAAATAAGTTTCCCACAAAATATAGACCAGAAGCTGCCAGCCTCCGTAGGCGGAAGTCACCTATATAATAATCAGCAGTAAAAATGACTACAGATAACCTGCACCTAAAATATGCAAGGACAACATGTAACCCACAACTTTCTTGGGGGTTCAAGAAGAGCACCCCGTAGCTGGGCAAGAGGCTTATTAAACTCACGGAGGGAGAAGAGTGGAAAAGAGGTTGGATACAGGAGTAAAGGACGAGGATGGCAGCTAAGGGACCTTTCTGGAACTACTCTCTGTTCCCCACCTCGAAGCAGAGGAGAGGTTTCATAATGTCACTGAGGAACAAATTATGAAAACAATTGCTGTACTTTTTGCCTTGGACTAACAAAGCCTGGGGCCCCCACCGACTCCTGCACGTTAAGAGGCACAATTTCATTGTGGAGAAGAAGCCATGCAGCAGGGAAGTGATCTCTGGCATCTTCAGGCAAGAGGTTTTCACACCCTCTGTCTTTCTGTGGATCTGAGAGGAATTCCGTCTCTCCAGCACCCAGAGGCTGCAGGTCCCTCGGTGCCAGAGGCAGTCTCTGCTTCTGCCTGGGAATGGCACAGCTGAAGGGCCTCCTATACCGTGGTCAGCAAACTCATTAGTCAACAGAGCCAAATGTCAACAGTACAACGATTGAAATTTCTTTTGAGAGCCGAATTTTTTAAACTTAAACTATATAGGTAGGTACATTGTTATTAACTTAATTAGGGTGCTCCTAAGGCTTAGGAAGAGCCACACTCAAGGGGCCAAAGAGCCACATGTGGCTCGCGAGCCGCAGTTTGCCGACCACTGTCTAGGTCTGTCCCTAGGATCACTGCTGACTAAACAGCCGAAGGGACAGACTTCCCGGTCAGAAAAAAAGCACATGCTTCCAGGCCTGGTGAATTAAAAATGTGACTCTGATCATCTGAGCACAAGCTCCAGAACTAAGCCCAAAAGTGCTAGAGGGGAGCAGAACACACATATTTTAAATCCTCCTATAACTTTTGGCCGATAGCATTTATATTGCCTTCAACACCATAAAGCAGCATAAAAATGAAAAGAAGGCATATGTACTACTATTTGTAATACTTTAAACAATAAAATTTAAAAAATAAATAAAAATGGAAAAAATGAATTAAAATTAAAAAATAAAATACTGCCTATTCAATATTGATTTTTTTCTGTTTTAATGGTTACCATGTTAATAAATATACTAGTGGCCTGGTGCATGGATTTGTGCACATTAAAGGAAATTACTTAGAAGAAATATTTTAATATCACTATTTGCCCTTTATAATAGAAGTGTCAGAGATGAAAGAAAATTAGTAAAATGTATATGAAAATAATATATAAATTGATTAATAAACAATAACAAGATATAACAACAAAGATATGACACAAACCAAAAACATGATATAAAAACATTGATAAAAACAATGATTGATAAATTGATTAACTTATTCTAATATCTCCCTATACACCACATTAAGAGTAAAAATACTTTCAGAGTGCTTGACTAATTTCCCTTTTGATGAAGTATTTACAACTTTAACGTCACATGCTCTTTGAA